CTAATGCCAACCAGGCACCTTACCTAGAAACCCCTCCTCAGGCCCAGCAGGCCTTCATGGTCCTTGAAATAGAGACTCCTGGGCTCACCACTTTCCCACATGAGAGTCCTCTTAGCACCCACCGAGGGCAAGGCCCACCCCTCCCTACTCTCCACTGCATAGCCAACTTCTGGCCAGCAGTGCTCATGCCTCCCTTCCAGGAGCTTCCTCTGGGACACCTCCTTACTGCTCCCTTCTGCAGCCTCCTCGTGGCTGTTCCAGCATTCACTATGTCAAACTCCCCTTTGGGTCCCCAAAATGTCAGCACTCCTTTCTTTCCCTCTGCATTATTCCTCTTCCTGTGTCCCATGGCACACTCCACTGGGTACTGTTTGGGGTTTAGGAGAATAGTTTCTGTGGTCAGAAAGAGGGGTACCCTTCACCTTCAGGAAAAGGCACTTGCCAAATTCCTTCTTTCCAACAGCACTCCGGACGATCTTGTGAAATTATCTTACAGAACAGCCCCAGGTCAGAGGAGAATGCACTTTGACAAGGTTCTGGAGAGCCAGCAGAGCCCTTTGTTACACTGGTAGCCACTGCATCCTCAGACCCTCTGATGATCCCTACATTCTTGCATCATTTCCATCTTAGAAAGAGAAGATCCAGGCTGGGGATTTAGCTCAGCGGCATAAGCGCCTGCCTTGCAAGCAGGTGGTTGTGAGTTCGATCCCTGATACCGATAAAAATGTAAAAAAGACAAAAAAAAAAAAAAAAGAGAAGATCCTGAGAAGACAGTTCCATATTCTGACTCTGATGTCAGTCATAACTCTTGATCATTCAAAATCTGCAGGTACAGATACAGAGGGTACAGAGGGTGAAATGAAGTAGCACTGTATTTCTTGGCAAAGGAATTTATTGTAAAGGTTTTCTTAGTAATAAGCATCCCCAGTTATTAAATCAGGATGCTACAAAACTCTGTTGGCTATGTGGATGCATGGGTAGTTGGGGGTAAATGAGTAGGGATAAAGATGGGTGAGTGGATGAATGGATGGATGGATACATAGATGGGTGGATGGATAGTTGGTTAGATAATAAAGTAGTAAATAACTAGATAAGTAGATTAGTGAACAGTTGGACAACTGAAGAGTAAACTAGATATGTGGATAAATCTGTTTGCTGAACAGATATGTGAATGCTTGCTGGGGGATGGATATGTTTAGATGGTACATAGGTAGATATATGGCAAATAGGTAAATGAACAGACAAAAAAGTAAGATTGAATAAGTAGATGACCAGGTTGCTAGGGAGATTTAAAAAAGTGAATGGCTGGATAAATTAATGAGTGGTTGGGGCGAGTGATTGGGTGCATGCATGGATAGATGCATAACTGGGTAATTAGATTAATAAATGTGGGGGCTGGGGATTTAGCTCAGTGGCATAAGCGCCTGCCTTGCAAGCAGGCAGTCGTGAGTTCAATCCCTGGTACTGATAAAAAGGAAAAAGACAAAAAAAAAAAAACGGAATGTAGATTAATGAGTGTATGAAAGGGTAGATGAATGGCTTGGGTAGGCAGGTGTATAGAAGGATATATTTGTGGTAAAAGAATGGAAGAAAGGAGGGAATAAAGGTACATGAATAAAATGACAAAGATCTAGATATGAGGATGAGTGGGTGAGTCAGTAGATTAGTAGACAGATAAATGAGTTATAAGATGGATTGACAGATAATTAAAACTACAGAAGAGTAGAGAGTGAGTGGGTAGATGGAAGCACATAAGAGGGTACACATGAATACACAGCTGAGAGAGAGCTCATTGGATGGATGGATGGGTGGGTGGGTGGATGGATGGATGGATGGATGGATGAATGGGTTTAGAGATGGAGGGATGGGTAGATGGGTAAATGAGTGAGAGGATAAATGTGTTTGGATGAGGATAGATATGTGGATGGGCAAATGGATGAATGGAAGAATGACTGGGTGGAAGGAACGACCAGAGTTTGGGTATGTGATGGTGAGTCCAGATGGATGTGTGAATAGATGTGTGGGTAGAAGGGGGCTGGGAGTACATGGAAAGGCAGGCAGACAGTTGGATGGAGTGGATCCTCTAAAGGCACTTTCTTTGGCTAGGCTCTGAGTCATGGTGAGTGGCTATAGAGGTACACTCCAACCAGAATGTCAGCTTCTCAATCCCCAAATAAGTGGATAAAGTCCGCTCTGGCAGGCCCAGGGGCAGGAAGTCCGAGTGGGGTGGGAGGCCCCACGCCAGGAGCTGAAGTCAGTTCCTTTTTTTTTCTAAACAATGGGGCCTTGCCTGGTCCCTCCTGTACCTCCACCCAGCTCGACCCAAGCTCCCTCCTCATCTGATGGGGTGCTGGGGCCCTCGAGCAGGATACAGGGAACTGGGGAAGTAGGAGGGCCGGGCCATAGAGACCTGGGTCTGCACAGCTGGCAAAGGGCCCCGCATGGCAAAGATGACTCTGCTTGGGCTCAGGCTTCTGGAGTCAGCCGCCTCTGGGGGAGGGGGAGGACAAGGGTGGGCAGAGTAACACCTTCCACCCTTTGCTTCCATCCAGGTGACTGCTTTGGTATCTTATTTTTGTCTCTGTTTTTAAATCTCCTACATAGCTGGATGGCTCCAGCCCCCCTTTTGTCCTTTCTTACAACCACCCTATCTTCTCTGTCTTCTCCCTTTCCTCCTCTTACTGCCCTGTCCCACCTTAGTCGGCCTGGCAAGAGAGAAGGCTTGTTAAGCAGAGTAAGTAAGTTCAGGTTGGTTTCTTCCCAATACCAAGGGAGGAGGGTGCAGTTCTTCATGTAAACCGCTGCATATCTCCCCACTTTCTGTTGTTCTTGGGGAGAGGCTGGCTGGGCAGTGGCCTTGGCTGCCTGTCTTCATGCCCCGAAGACTTGAAGCTGCTTGCCCCAGCTCAAGGACCCTAGGGAATGTGCCAAGGTCCTTGGGCCCGCCCCAAAGGCCTCTAGGTGACCACACACAGCAGGGAGTCATACTGCAGGCAGCTGTCAGATCTCCCTCACCTCCTAATCTTCTTTGATCCTGACAACCTCCAGGTAGGGGCAGCCATGGGACCCCAGGCAGGTGAGAGGGGGAACCCAGGAAGAGCTAAGGTAACCTCACTCCTGGGGTCGACTCCACCCAGCGCTAGGTTGCAGAATGAGGCCAGTCATGGGGATACTAGCCCTGAGCAGGAGGGTCTCAGGAGCCTGCTCACTGTCCCCTTGGGCTCTTGTGCAGCTACAGGTCCAGCCTGTTGCTAGGATTAGTGCCTGGATTAGCCTACCAAGTTTCCAGAGCCTCAAGTGTCCCAGTCACGGTACTATAGAAACCTGGCCTCAGGCTCAGTGGCCCCTTGCTTCCCTGCAGTCCCAGCCTGAGCGTCAGTCCCTCCTGGAAAAGACCGGGAGTGCAGGGACACAGTGGGCCTGGACCTGAACTCCTACCAAGCCCTGAAGCCTACCCTGTTCACCAGAGGCGTAAAGAGTTTGGGATTCTAGAATCAGCTGGGTCACATCATGCTGAAAGCTCCATGCAGAACACATCTTGGCTGGTTATCACTACCCGCAAAGCACACTGGGAAACCTCCCTCCCCAAGCTATCTTCTCAGACCCCCTTTCATGTAGATCTTTGTGCTCTCCATTTGCTCTGACACCCATCTGCTCTGGAGCCTGGGTCAGTCCTCAGTGGTGTGCCCCATCAGGGGGGGCAGCTCATAAGACCTAACAGACAGGCAAACCTGAGGAAGGAGGGGTGTGCAACTTCTGGAGAAGCACAAAGTATGCAGCAGGCCCTGAGCACCTCCTGCCTAGGCAGGGCACCCTGGCCGGGTCCTCTGCAGCACCACAGCCTGCACAGGTGCTGGCTGCCTATTGTCTCTTCACTCAGCTGTCCTGGCTCTCCAGCAGGAAATGGTCAGCACTGAGCCCCACATTCACTCCACGAGGTCTCTCCTTTTTTCCTTTCCTGAGCTCAGGATGTTCCTCCTCAACTCCTGACCAGCTGCTACTCACTTTCCAGTGCCTATAAGGTGGCTCCACTTCTCTGGCTTGGGTTTTGGTCCTTTTCAGTCTGTTCACTCAGGAGCCACAGGATCCTTAACATCTAAGACAGACCCTGAAACAGCGTAGTTCTTAGCTTTCTCAGAGTTTTGGGGAACCCTCCATCGCCAGTTCTCCTTGGCCTCTGGATTGTGCTTCCAACCCACTCTGCTTGCTTCCATCATGTGCTCTCTTCTCCATGTCCTGGAAATGCACACTGCTGCCATTCAGGGCTTCAGACCTGCTTCTCCTGCCACCAGGCACTTTCCCCAAGATGTCCATGTGGGTGTCTGGTAGGGGACACATGGATGGATAGATGGGTAGATGGAGAGACAGATAGATACAGGGGTGGTGGATGGATGGTGAAGGGCTCCATGTAGTAGGATGAATAGACAAATGGATGAATGATGATCATGTGGATAGAAGGATGGGTGGTCAGGCAGATGAGTGAATGGATGGATGCATGAGTGGTGAGTTAATAATGAATGAGAGCCTCTTCTCTGAACCCCAGCCTTGAAATATGGCCAAAAGAAAAGACCCAGACAGGCAGCTGTGTGCCAAGACCAAGACAGAGGAGTCAAGCAGGGCCATGTAGGTATCACTGGCAGAACATACCTCTTCTACCCTGTGCGCTGCCATGTGCACAGTGCCTCCTCAAACGGGCCACTCTCAGCCATCTATAGGCTTCCCTGCAGATCCTTAGACCCAGGCTAAGCCCCTCTGCTTCATCCTTGTTGAACCTTGTGATTCAGGCCAGTCCTCTTTGTCTATTCCTCTGCTGTATGCCATCTCTGACCTGGGAGGAAGGTGGACACTCTCGGCCATGTAGCTGGGTTGGGCTCTGTGCCCTCCCAGTCCTTGCAAGTTTTCTCCCCACTGGTTCTTCCCCTCATTTCTAGAAGATTCTAGTTCATGCCTGCCAGAGATAGTATTGGTTATCTGTCAGTGCATAAGAAATTACCCCAAACTTAAACCGATATGGACATGAAGTATTTATCATCTCAGCTTCTGTAGATCCGGAATGCAGGAACAACCTCAATGGATTGTAGTGGCTCAGGGACCCAGGGCACTGCAGTTGCCATGGGCACTTTGAAGATTCAACTGGACTGCCTCTCCTCCCTAGGGAGTACATGAAGGCATAGCAAAGTGGGGTTCTGAGACAGACAGCTCAGTTCTCCCTATGGGTTGCATGGGCTGTCTGAAGTCCTTGCTGCATGGTGGCAGCAGCTTCCCCAGAGCACAACAGCCTGAGACAGAGAGAAGAGAGGAGGACACCGTAATCTTCTTTATGATCAGCCTCAGGCATCACATTCCCACTTCTACTGCAGGGCGGATTCCGCGGTGGGGTTCCTGGGGGAGGCTCCCCAGCTGAAATCCAGGGCCATCCTAGAAGCATAATTAGTGACAACACACTCTTCCTTCTGCAACAAAACAGCACAGAACAAAAGAAGTCCTGGGTGAGGTGACCCCATATCACTGCGTATCACCCTTTTACCCTTCCTTGCCTGACAGTCGGTGACTCATGGAGTGTCCCCCTTCCCAGACCCCCTCCATCCCCTTGGCTTCCTTATCCTCCTGCCCCACAGCCCTCACCTCTGTCCTGGGCTCCTGTCCATCTTTCTCTCCGGCCCTCAGGCCCCTGACCAGGTCCACCCCCCCCCACCCTGTTTCCTCTCACTCCTCTCACTTACTAAGTCTAGTGCTGGAACAGCCACTCTGCCACCCCCAGCGGGGACACTTGCCACAGGTGCTGGAAGCGTGATGCATGGAGCTCCAAAAGAGGCCTGATCCCCAGCAGCGCCATCATGGAGGAGACTGTCCCTTTTGCCCTGACTCCACAGGCTTGCTAGATTTGCTGGCCACAGGCAGGGGAGAGGCCAGGCCCTGAGGTGGGATGCAGAAGGCCTCTGACCCAGCTGCAGAAGCCTCTGGGAGAACGGTGTCAGAAAAAGTAGGGTGCTGGGGTCCTTCCCCACCTTCCCTGGGCCCAGGCTCCTGGGAGAGAAGAGAAGGGAGAGAAGAAAGAAGGGAGAAGGAAAAAAAGAGAGAGAGGAAAAGGCGAGTATAAAGAAAGGAGGGAAGGAGGAGAGAGGAAGAAAGCAAGAGGGAAGAGAGAAGGAAGGGATAAAAGAGGAAGGGGAGAGGACCCACACAGGGACTGACTGGGAATCAGGCGGCCCAGTGGCCTCCAGTCCCGCCAGTTCCCCAAACCGGGCCTCTCGTACATTTGAGAGCCCTTCTCCCCAGGGCTGACCGAGACTGGGAGAGGTCAGGGCTTTTTGCAGGAACTCTGCTGACGGGGCAGGGGCGGAGGGGTGAGGAATAGCTCCTCTTTGCCTCTCCCTTGCCGTCCACAGGTCAGTGCCCAGTCCTGGCCTGGTGTCCCCCAGCCCAGGCCCATCGGCCTCCCCAGAGCTCCTGGCTGTGCCGCAGCTGGGGCAGAGCCTTTAAAGTGACGTCAGTGAGGCAAGCAACGTCATGGCCCTGGGGCTGGAGCCGAGCGGGGTCATTTTTTTTATTAAAAAGCAAAACCTAAACCAAGAAAACAAAGTGATTAAGTTTCTCCTCAGAACAGCAGGCCCTGTAAAGCCAGGAGCAACCGTCTTGTTGGGTGCTTCGACCCTCGTCTGCCTTGCAGGAAAACAACTGAATTACAGTCACAAACAGGAAGCAGCTGGCCCTCCCTGAAACAGGGAGGGCTGGGGTCTCTAGATGGGGGGGACACTGGAGCTTGGCACTAGGCCAGGTGAGACTGTATCAGCGCTCAAGTAAACAGGCAGGTTGAACCTCCACAAGCCTCTGAGTTTTAGACACGGCCAGGGGAGACCAGGTGTGTTCAGAATGGCTCCCCAGCCCACAGCCCCCTACCCCTCTGCTTGAGCTCCCACCAGTAGCCAGGGTCCTTGAGAGAGCAGGAGAGGGGGCAGGTAACCATGCTAGGCAGATCCAGATCAGGTTTCCTGCAAAGCCAGGGGACTGCAGCTGGGCACGGTGTGTTGGGCCTGCTGTACACAGAGTCTGTGAAAGAGTGGCCCCCCAAAATCCCCTCCTGCAGCACAGGTTCAGTTGTGGACATGGAAGAGGGGGTTTCTGCATATTTCAGTGCTGGGCTCTGGGCAAAGCTGAGACTCAGCCTGGAGGGAGCAGGGAGGACAGAAGATCAGAATGGAGCAGGGGAGTGCATAGCACAGGCTGGCAGGCCGCTGCCATCAGTCACCAGGGAGCCCATCATCAGTGAGATGAGTGGGGCCAGGGGAGCCAGGGCTAGGTGTGAGTGGCACCTGTTGGCCTTGGTGCAGTGAGTTCCTTGCCAAAGGGAGAACACAAAGAAAGACCCCAAGTGGGTCATAGCACTGGGGTTAGGGAGTTAAAAACCCAAAATCTAGGCAGGTGTGGTGGTACATACTTGTAATCCCAACTACTCATGAGGCTGAGACAGGAGGATCCCAAGTTCAAGGCTAGCCCAGGGGATTTAGTGAGACTATAAAAAAAAAAAAAAAAGCTGGGTATTTAGCTTAGTGGTAGGGTGCTTGCCTAGCATGTGCAAAGCCCTGAGTTCCACCCTCATCACCAAAATAAAAATAAAAAACTAAAATGAAATGAAGTAAAATAAGTAAATCTAATGTTGGTTATAGATGCAAGCTTGTACACCTCAGCTTCTTAGGTTCTAACTGGCTGAGGACACTCATCCTACCCTAGTGATGGTAGGGGAGAGTCCATCTGAGTCAGGTGTTAAATAAGAGGGACAAGTATTTTCTTTTTTTTGTTTTGTTTTTCAAGTAAGTTTTCCCTATGTAATCCAGACTGGCCTCAAACTCAAATTCTTCCTGCCAAGTGCTAGAATTTACAGACATGTGCCACTATATGTGGCTCAGAGAGGCAAATTTTAAAGAAATGTTCTAACACAAGAAGACTTTTAAAACAGCAAAAGACAAGCTCTAGACTGACACCCATTAGAACCTCGTGATTCTGATGCACAGAGGAAGAGGGTACAGAGAGAGAAGCGAAGTCCGAAGACCTGAGTGTCTGCATGGGGGATATTAAACCTGCAGAGAAACAGGTTCAGTGCATTTTACACATCAACTGCGGCCCAAGGAACAAAGAGGAATGACTTCACAAATCGTCTTGAAACAACTGGTTAATCAATAAAAAACAAAATTAGAGAGAAAAGTTATATCCACACCAAAAACCTGCACCTGAATGTAACCACTCGAACTCAGAGGTAACCATGATGATGCCTGTCGGTAGGTACATCCATGGGAGACAATGTTCTCAGGGTGGTTAGGCGTTTGTTACCAACCACAGGAGTTGCGGAGAACCCTAAATGTGTATGCCTAAAAGTAACGCACTAGTCTGAAAAGGGCCATGCATGTGATTCCCACTCCGGCTTCCAGAAAATGCAAACTATGGTGATGGTAGGGAGGTCAGTGGCTGGCAGGGAGGAAGGTGGGGAGGAGGGTTGGAGCACCGAAGATCTTCAGCATCTGGAAAGAAGCCTGCATGGTGCTGTGATGGCGTACACATATCACTGCACATCTGTCCAAGTTCATGGTCACTCCAGCAGCAAACAATGAAGTAGACTGGACACTTTAGTTCACAGTGTGTACCCATGTTGGTCTGCGGTGACAGTGAAGGTTTCACATGAATTCAGATGCTGATAACAGAGGAAGTTGGGTGAAGCGTGAGGTGAGGGACCCTGCTTCCTGCTTGATTCTTCTGTAGACCTAGTGAGCTTTGCTTTTGTCCAGGGACTGTCTTCATTGTTCTCCGTTACCACGGCCACCAGCTTCTTTCAAGGGGCCAGTTGTTCTTATGTGTTATCCCATGGGAGCTCCAGCTCATAGAGTCTGCTCTTCCCAAAGGGAAACTGAGACACAACAATGGTGGGCAACAGGCTAGGATTTGTCACACTGAACACACTTACTTCTGTGTTGACCCCAGAAGAAAATGGTGCCATGACTCAAACATCCTGGCCTCAGAACCCCTCATGTTACTAGAAATTACTGAGGACCCTCTCAAGAGCTTATGCTTATACAATGCTATACCTCCTGACAATAACCAGATTAGAAGTCACAACTAAGTCATGGAAACTTTTTAAATGTTTTAAAATTTTTGGAAATGAATGAATTGAAATTCATAAGTATTTATGCACCTAAAAGACCTTTTAAAAAATAAAACAGGCCATGTTGGAACTTAGGACGCTGGGAAGCCAAGCAAGCACCTCCCCTCCCTGGTAAGCGGTGGTGGTCTGGCAGACTGCGACCCTTCCAGGGGGAGAACCACCAGTGTCTCCTGAAATCCGTGCCATGCTGGAACTTATGAAGCTGGGAAACCAAGCAACCAACCTACCTCTCTGCTAAGCAATAGTGAACCTACTGGTGCATGGTCTGGAGTCAAACATCCCACTTCCCCTACCCCTCTTCTCCTGTCCCCACTATTAGCAAATGGGAACCAGAAATCTGAGCGTCTCCTGGGAGGTTGACCATAGCAAATAAGGGGGACTTCCTTCTACCATCTCTTTGAAGGCAAATATTTTTATTACTGGTTAGTTCTATTCTGATTAATGGTACTGCTCTACTCAATATTCTGTTTTGATAAGTTCTATAATGTTCTGTATTTCATTTTATTTTGCTACACTTGATTGAAAGAACTATTGTAAAGATAATGAAATATACTGTGATACCTATCACTGTTATTCCCGTAACCTGCTGTGAAGTTCTGTACCAACTTCACTGTACGATCTTGGTTGGCTTTATTATGTCTTGTTCTGTTGTATTTTACTACTTTCAAAATAAAATTTAAAAAAATAAAAAATAATCATAACTAGGCTTTTCAAGGAGAACAGAAAGTTGCTTTGTGTTCTAGAAATGTCTGTGGTTTGCTGGAAGGTGGTGGATTCCCATTCACATCTCTACATTAGGACCTCTCAATGTGTTATTTGCTCTATGTGTAGGAGGGAGGTATATGAAGATATATCCAAGCCTATTGGGTTAGAAAAGAAAGAATATTTTTTAATTAAAAGTTATATTAATACATGTTTGCAGTACATAATGATTACAGTCATCACGGGGAGTTGGTACATGTATGTAACACATCTCAATTCCTCTTGCTTCCCCTTGCCCTTCTCTCCTTCTCTTCCTTCCATCTCTAAATATCCTTATTTTAATAGGCTTCCATATGTTTGTGGATTTACTCTTTGATATTACCTCAAAACTCAGTAAGTGCTCATTTCTGAAAGATTAGCTATGATGCAGAATCTGAAGCCTTATCATTGAGCTTTTAAGACTTTACTAAAATCCATCAGTTGAGGAAATGATGGAGATGTGGGGATGAAATATGATGTGGGCTTGGAGGAGGCCCTGGAATGGAAAGAGGGCAGAAGTAAAGACCTTGGCATGATCCACATGAAGCCGGAGGCTGGCTGCATGGTCACAGTTGATGTCAGAGTCCTGACTGTCAGGAGGTAGGACGTAGGTACACAGACTCTGAAAATCTGTACACAAAGCAGGCATCTTGTCTGTGAATATAAAATTATTCCCAAAAAAGGTTTATTGGAGGAAAAATCCACTGGTCTACCTTGTATTTCAGAGTCTTTCCTGTATGTATTTCCAAAACATTCTCTATCAATCATTTGGAAAGCTGTTTGTACAGCCCTTATGGAAATCTTAGCACCAAGCTCCTCAGGAAGGTCTACAGGGATTGGGAAATTGTCCTGCTTCATGAAACAAATGCTAGTTTTCCAAAATTCTGATTTGCCCAGGGAGGTGCAAAGCTACACCACCAGCAAAGCTCAATAGTTTCTACGCTTCAGGAACAGAATTGCTACCTTCTCCAGGTGGACAAATTGTTTAATCCTGCTCATGCAAACATTGTGGGCCAGTGGGGCTTGTAACTCAAGCTTGGACCAGGGCCCTTCCAATCCTAGGACCTCTGGTCACAGTGGGTGCTCTGTGCCTGCCTCTCAGCTTCTCATACAGAAGATTTAAAAGACATAGCACAGGGGTCAGGATTTAAGGGAATAAACAAAGTTTACAGCTTCATCAAGGGTGCTCTTCAGAGCTGCTGGCCCATGGCCTGCATCAGGTCCTGTGGCAATTCTCTAAGTGGGACCCGTGTGCCTGGAGATCTCCTCGTCTTCCTCTCCTGATCCTTGGTGAGGGGCCAGCACTGCGTTGGCCCTCTTGTAGACCTTATCTCTTTCTCTACAACCCCTGCCTTATCTCCTTACCTCTCTCCTTTTCAGACTAGATGCCTCTGAGACCACCCCTCTTTCCAGGGAACCCTCCTTGACAGGCCTAGAAGAACCCGCACCTGGAGCTCCTGTGGCTTCTCCTTCACTTTTGGGCATGTCTCCCACTGTCCCCCACCAGGCAGTGAATTTCTCTTCAGCAGAACCCCCTACATACATGCACAGCAGAGCAGTTGTTTACCTCCCACCATTCCAGGCTGGAAGTGCCTCCTGCAGTCTACCTTGCATACCTGCTGCTGTTGCCCCAAGACCTCCGCTTCCTCAGGTCTGGCAGCGGCAGGATTCCAAGGTTTGGAGGACTTCTTCTGACTTCCTGCTGAACCACTGAGAGCAAAGTCTGCCTCTCTGC